TTCTTGGAAAACCTAACAATTATTTTCGCATTAAGATTTGAGATTTAAGACAACCAAAAGTCCTAGTTCTATCCCTAAATACTATTTCCTTTAGGTGTTTAATCCAAGTTCAGATTTACCCAACATTTCCCAATATCAAGCAAACCCTAAAATCATGTCATGGTTAACAACTTCACAACAAGCATTAAGAGAAGGAATTAAACACTAACAATCAATGAAAGAGACATTTTTTCATTCAAAACACAGTAGTTTGCATAAGAGTTCAGTGGCTACATCAATCCCCAACAACAATGAAATTAGCTCTCCATGAATGGAGAGCTTGAACATACAACAATGGTGGAAATGGAAGAAGGAAGAAGGCCCAAGGAAGAAGATGGACTGTTTCCACAACTCCTAGCTCACCTCCAAGTGCTCCAAATGAGAGAAAACGCGTCTGGGTGTCAAAAGATGTCAAGCTCTTCGTGCCTCTGAGTTAAATGGGGCAAATATGCCATGTTAGCAAAGTTGGCGCTCAAGCCCCCATAAGCCAGGGGCGCCCGGGCTAACTTCAGCAGAATTCTGGTTCTTCATTTTTGTTGTTTTTCTTACTTTCCTTGGTTTCCAGTGCCTTTATTTGATGCATAAACTTCTTCCAACTACTTTAAGCACATAAAAGCAGGGATTAGTGATTAAAATATCTCATTAGAGCTTAAGGTGAAACCACTTAACAAACTAAAAGAAAACTAGGATTTACAAGGTAAAAAGTTAAGGAAGGGTTGACGTTTTCTCTTAATTCATTATTGAATTCATGGTAAAATATGTCATTATCAACTCCCCTAAACTTAGAACCTTGCTTGTCCTCAAGCAAAAGGTATCAGGCTCCAACACAAAGCATATTTTCACAGACATAGCAGAATTCACAACACTTGCTTAACTTGGAACGGCTAGAAATGTGTACAGATTAGCCTTCCACTGTTGTGCTCACAACATTTTCAATCAATCAAATGCTATAGTTTATAAGAGATCAACAGTCATGGCAGAATGCTTTACTGAATTATGTAGAACCAATCCTCACCCAAGATAGTGTTTCACTTGCATGCACTGGTATATAAGGATGTGTATCTATCACTCTACTATCACAATGTCACACAAATCAACTTTGCCATTTGTTTCAACCAAATTAAACACATTCAAAAGCAAGTTAGCATCACAAGGACTTTGATTGGCTTGTAATGTGGTTGGGCTAAGAAAGAAACATGGTTTTTTTGGATAACAAAACACCTTGAGCTAAGAGATTAAACAATTCAAATCATGCACATAAGTTTCTCTTTTACTTCACTTAAATTACAACCACTTTCAAACTTATATCCCACCCTTCTTTCATTCCATTCTTTTTCTTTCTTCTTTTTCCTCATTTTTCTATATTTCTATTTTTCTCAATACACCCTTACAGAACAAACTTCCCCAAACTTTAAACCATTCACCTGCAGCAAACATGATTCTTCCATTCAGCTCAAGGTAAGTAAATCAGGGAATTGTCATTAGGCTTGAGGTTCAAGGAGGGAAGACATCTTTCATTAAGGTTCAAGAGGTTTGTATATGCTTATTTGGCTCAAACATATAAAAGATGTAGAAGAGTAAGATGGTCTTGATCATGTATAACAAGCAAACAAATGATTCTATTCAGAGAAACTCAAGCAAAGTCAACTTTGATCTAACATGATAGTATTCACAAGAAAAATCTAAGGCACAACATCTCACAAGGTTAACTCAAAGTTCCACAAACATCATCAAGCAACTGCCAAGAATATTGATTGCAGTTAAACAAAAAGCATTATTAGACTTTTCATGAAGAAAGCAACCACAATTTGAACTAAATTGACCCATCTCAAACATCATTTCAAAGTCAAGCATAAGCATCATGAATCAGCACAGTCTATCAGGCCAGATAACTTAACCAAAATGTTCATTCAATCAGAAACTAAGAACTGAATTTCAACCAAGTCTAAAAGTTAAACTAGAAAAAAAAACAAAAGAAAGCAATATAAAAGGTCCAGTGAAACTCATGATGTGTTCTAATCACTTATATCAGCATCCTCATCAGCATCTGCTTCTTCCTCCTCGTCATCATCATGAGGCAAACATAGATGAACTCAGTGTTGAACTAGATGATTTGTCTTNCAAGCAACTGCCAAGAATATTGATTGCAGTTAAACAAAAAGCATTATTAGACTTTTCATGAAGAAAGCAACCACAATTTGAACTAAATTGACCCATCTCAAACATCATTTCAAAGTCAAGCATAAGCATCATGAATCAGCACAGTCTATCAGGCCAGATAACTTAACCAAAATGTTCATTCAATCAGAAACTAAGAACTGAATTTCAACCAAGTCTAAAAGTTAAACTAGAAAAAAAAACAAAAGAAAGCAATATAAAAGGTCCAGTGAAACTCATGATGTGTTCTAATCACTTATATCAGCATCCTCATCAGCATCTGCTTCTTCCTCCTCGTCATCATCATGAGGCAAACATAGATGAACTCAGTGTTGAACTAGATGATTTGTCTTAAAGAGTGTGAGGCAAACATAGATGGACTAACAGCAGCTTGTGAAACTTCAACTTCAAAAGTGGATGAAGGAGAGCAGTGGTGGACAATGACAAGCTGCAAGGACTGATTCCCAATCAATGATGGATGAGTGACGGGATCAACAGTGGTAGCTGAAAGCTAAGAGCTACAAAACTGCAGGGACTACACTAAATCCTCATCAATGATGGCTGGGTGACGGGATCAACAGTAGTAGCTGAAATCTACAAAACTACAGGGACTACACCCATATATATGTGACTTGCAGTGTCTTGGAAACGTACTCCCCCTTAGTGTGAAGGGCAGAAATGTGGAATATCACAGTTGCTGGACCACTAAAACAAAACAAAATATTAAGCTACAATGCTGAAACAAAGGCATCAAAGATCCAAAGACATGTTGGAGGTCCAAAATGCTGGACAACTCGGTGATACTTAGCAGTGTATCACAAGAAGATCGGACTAAACTCTAGCCCAAGAACTGACGCAGTTGCGTCTGTTTGAGACGGTAGCGACTGCAGCGGCGGTTGATAGCTATAAAACTATAGGGACTAAATTGCCATCACTGGCTGGAAGCGACAAAACTACAGGGACTGTCATCACTAACTGACGAGGTGATGGGGCCTACAGTGGTTGGAAGCATACAACGGCAAACGGCCGGACAACGGCAAACGGCGCCGGAGAGCAGCAAAACGGTGCCGGACAGCGGCAAAACGGTGCCGGACAGCGGCAAAACGGTGCCGGACAGCGGCAAAACGGTGCCGGACAGCAGCAGACGGCGCGGACAACGGCAAAACGGTGCGGACAGCGGCCAACGGCACAGACAGCGGCAAACAGTGGCTGGACAGCGGCAAACAATGGCTGGACAACGGCAAACAGTGCCTGTACAGCGGAAAACAGTGCCGGGACAATCAACGGCGAAGACGAAGACAGACGAAGATGACAGCAATGGCTGCTCTGGAAGGTCTGAACAGAGAGAGGGAGGTCTGGCGAGAGCTATGTAGGTGTCGCGGTGAAACTCCGACACCGGGAAGGCTAAGCCCAAAATACAAATGAGAAATAATAACAAACTAACTAAAAGATAAAAGATATAATATATCTAACAGCACCAAAATTGCAAAATTTGCACCACCACCCACTCTTGACCAATTTGAAATATTTTTCCAACTTCTAACACTCCTAGATCGTGTTATACCATCAATTTGACTTAAACAACTTCCTACAAACCATCTTCTACTCATTTTTAAGTGATTGTGTGCAAGATTCCATTCTACCATTTCACAATTCTCAACTTATAGGCCTAAAATGAATTAAACCATTTTCAGCTCAAACTTATGCAACTTAGGGGTCAGGACAAGTCACAAATGACTTTGTTACAGACCCCAACCACTCAAATTTGTCTCAGACCATTCCCATCAAAATTTAACTACTCAAGTTCCCAAATTTGCACCTAAAACCATTCAAATCATCACCAAACTACAACTACCAACTTTCTAAACAAATTCTTCTTTGCTGTAATCACTTTATACCATCATTCTTCACCACACCAACCACACATACAAACCAGAAATTACCTTTAATAAAAAATCATTCGATCAATCATGCATATGAAAACACCATACAATTCAAACAGCAAAAGTTAGCATACATTGAATTTACATACTATTACATACCAACACATACTTTGCAACTCAAATTAAAAGAAAAACACTAGCTTCCCTTACCTCTAACTCGACTGCCCAATTTCTCAAAACACTCCACTGAATTCTTGCAAAACAAGGAACTTTTAAAACACCTACAAATCACTGATTGGTGATTGGAGACTAACTTTAGAACTTCAATTCAATCAAGAATCAATGAAGAGAAATTGACCCATGCAAAAACATAATCGCCTTGTATGATCAAGAACCCTAAAATACCAAAGAAAAGGGGTTTTTGACTTGCTCTAAACAGTGAATTGATCAGTTGAAGTTGTAGAGCTTGACGCAGTGATCGTTTAGGTACCTCCTGATCGTCCAACAAATGATCAAGGAGTTAGATTACTTAGAGAGATAGTAGAGAAGTTAAGAGAATAGTGTTTTAGAGAGATCGAAGATGATTTAGATAATGAGACAAGTTTAGAAAATTCTATTTATATTATGATATTATTTTATAATAAAATACTCAGTCTCATTATTTTAATACACTTATTAACTCTAATAATCTATTTTCTAGGTTCTTACACTATGACCATGGTTAAAGCTGTGGCATGAAACATAGAACTTTAATGGAATTTATTGAATTGATAGTTTACTTTAAACCAAACTCAGGGAGGTTAAGTGGTTTTGAAAAAAAAAGTTTAGGATGGTAAGCTAGGAATATGTGGAATGGAACTATAATACCGTACTTTTTTTAATCACATCTCTTATAATAGGCTTATTTTGTTAGAAGAATTTTATTTAACTGGTGTGTACTTGTTTTAGAAAGAGATTCTTCTCGATGGTGCACGCATTTTTGATATGGACATTTCTAATCAAATTTTATTAATCGCACAAAAGCCAAAGGAAGTAGGTGGAATGCACTTGCTAACTAAAGTAAGATTCTTCAATTTGAAGTATTTATTTGTATGTGGCTTTAGTTTCTCTTGTGCAAAAAGGATTTCGATTTAACTTTCATGGAAACTTGGCTTTGTAGATGAGCTTGTTGTCTCCATCTGAGATGCAAGATATCTTACTGCCTTCTGCTACAAGTGGTGTTAAAGACCTTCATATTTCTCCTTCTAATAGTAGTATGGCTCTCTTTTCTTCATTGGGGAAGAAACTATCAGTGCTCAGGTATAGCTGCATTGAGTACTAATTGGTCTTGTTTGACATAGTAAACCTCGGTAATTGGTGTATTTTCCTGTGTTACAGCTTGGACAGTGGCAATCTTGTTATCAATTATGATCTACAGGTGAAGTTTGATTCAATATTTTCGTTTGGTAAACTAATAGTAAATAAAGCTTGTTGCAATAGTGTATAATTGCTATGCTTTGTGTTTTTTCAGATTTGTATTGCTTGTATATTTAACTTGTTATCCTCCTTGAATTGAGCAACCAAAAACCTTAAGGAGCCCAAAAGACCGCAAGCTATCTAAGTAAAGGTTTCCAATCTCTTTTGAAAGTTTTCTAAAGATGCTCTTTTACAGTAACCATCAACCCAACATCATAACAAAGATAAGAAAATCACTGAATCCCAAAAAGGATGCAGTGTTGTAAGTAACTATCCCAGAAAGTCTAGCTTTTTTCTCCAACCTCAGGCACCAAATAATATTTAATAGCGTACAGCAGGAGGGCAAGGCAATCCTCGTTAGTTCCTGTGATTGTAAATCCTTGGAAACGATGTATATAAGAGGGAATTCTCTAAACTACTTATAGAAACAGATTTTTAAAATAGTTTTTTCATGCACCTTCATGTGTGCTAATTTACTAATTTGTTGCTCAGATATTGCAATTTATCTCCCATCATAGTTTAGTAGTACCTCTTTGTTTTTTTAACCTTGAATTCTATTACAGGATCCTGCATGGTCTTGTTCGTGGGATCTGAACAATTCGCATAACATATATGCTGGACTACAGGTCAGCAATTTGGTTTTTGTATTTATTGGATGTGGGAGCTTCAAATTCTAATCTTCATATTTATATTCCTGCAGAATGGTTCTGTCTTAGTGTTTGACATGCGTCAAACTGTAGGTCCCATGAAATCTTTAGTTGGTTTGACTAATAACCCTGTGCATACTGTCACTTCTCTTACACAAACTTCAAGTCTTTCATCGGGTGTTAAAACCATCCTATCGGCATCTGCCTTTGGCCTTTGTCAGTGGAACATTGATTCTGAAGAACGGTAGGCTGTTTGCCTTTTATAGACGTCCGCTTTATGTATATAATATTATAATTTCCTAATAAATATTGTGCAAAACTTGATTTGCTGGCACTATCAAGTTAACCCTACAATATTCAATTATGACGAGCAAATATTTCGCTTTACCCATTTTGTTTTTGGATTTGTGTGGGTCTACCTGTTGGCACAATTCGTTTTGTTTTCCAAAGTATGCGACATTTCGAATTGTACATTTCCAATGTTTGGTCCATCATTGTACCTTTCCCTTTTCACTCCTTTAGCTCCTATTATTCTTCATTTTGTATGACATACATGTTATCTTCCTTGCTTGTATTGCCAAAATTATTTTAGATTATTTTCTTGTGTTAGAGTCGTATTTCTTTTGCATTTTTGAAACTTACATTTTTTTTTTTAATTTAATTAAATCAGCTCTCGACTTTGGAATGTTTTCCTGCATTTATAAGATACTATATGATGGATCATTCCTATTTTCTTCTGCGTAATTTCAATTTGGTTCCACGAGGACAGTGGTGATTTTGCAAGCAATCATGTACGAAGTGTCATCCTCTATTTTTTTTTGGCTGTAAATAGCTGTCCTAATATTTCACCTTTTTTAAATGTGAAGGCCGCTTGTGGTTCCTGAAACTGATAATCAAGGAGTCTGCATATCCCTTGCCTATTGCCCTAGCAGTGATGACATTGTTGCTTCATACAGACCGAAATTAATGGATGTGCCTCTATCTCAACCGTTGGCCACTCCTCTTAGTGCTGGACAAGGAGTACAGGGCACTCATGTCTTGTTCAATAGAATGGGTAGTCATCATTTCCAAAAGTTGGGTTCCTCCCATGCAAATGTGAGTAAAATTCGACTACCAAAATGTGTAATTATGGACATAGAGAGTCAGAGCAGATTGTTAGCATCTTGGGATGAAGTTACATGTGATTTGGTCTTGCATGAGTTGCCATCTTTTAGGCTTCTTCAGCAATTCAAAATTCCAGCTCAGGCCCGTGATCTTAGGTACTCACCTAGACACGGCGTACTGGGTTGTCTAAGTGAGAACACGTTGCAGCTTTTCTATTCTTAACACTCGTCGGTAAGGTAATTCTATGTTTCGCAACTGCTCTTATCACCGCAACCCTTTCAAGAAAGAAAGGGATCATTGGCTTTGATATCTTTGTTATAAATTATTCTATATTTGAATTTAACTGTCCTTAAAGTAGTTGGAATAGTTATTTCTCTGTCCCGAGTCTTCGTTTTTCTGTAATTATGTTGTATGTTATTTATTAATTTTTTGGTAATATTGGGGCAATAATGTATTAATGTTGATATTGCTATTGTAACAATAATAAGATCAGCACTGTCATTAATAACTATGATTACTGAAAGTTACTGGTTTTCAATGCAATAGAAAACTATTGGGTTAAATGTTTTTCATCTCCACATGTTTTACAAATTTTACCTCTAGTTTGAGTAAAATATTATTAACCAGTCTTGGTAATCACATATGTAGTCATGCGATTTGCAATGTGGACTACTTTTTTTTTTTTTGCAAAAATCACTGTAAAATGTTGGTTCGAGTTTTTGTTGGTATACAGTAGTTAGAAAATAAGTTTCAATTTTTTTGATAAAAGTAAACAATTAAAAAAAGTTTGTTTTTTATAAATTCACTCGAAAATTTTTTTAACATCGAAACTTGTGGTTGCTGCCAGGCGTATGTATTCTATATACGGTTAATTGTTGAACAAAAAAATGTTTGATAGTGAGATTGGAAAATAAGAGTTTTGAAAGAGTTTGAAGATTAAAGTTTTCTTAATTGTGGATTGTTATTATGTTTATTGTGAGTTTCTGATTTTGTGTTTTGTATAATTATTTAGTCGCTTGTTAACTTGTGTATTGAGTGTTTATGTAGTGTCTTATTATGGTTAAGAAAGAATTTGATTCAAAATTTAATCATGTGGCTTTGACATTAAATTAGTTGTTCACATAACTAAATTACATTTAAAATTTAGAATTGCCATCATTCTATTTAATACTTGTTACAAAATATTCAGATAAATGGTTAGAATAATGCCCTGGCCTACACGATGCTAAGAAAGTGGTTTTCTTTGTCCTTATCTAATTATAGGTCCCTACTTAATTGCATTATGATATGTTGAAGCTGAAGGACTTTTTTACATTAAGTCAAATGGAATTAATCTTGAAATGTTAAATGTAATTGGAACGTATGATTAAATTAATTTCAATCATAAATTTTTTTGTTAAAATGTGCTAGAATGAAAAAAAAAAATTACTATATCCAATTTGTTCGAATATAGGTAGGCATGCATTGGGCCATTATCGTCAGCGTAAAATTTCAAATAAAACATCTCACATCAATCAAATAACTAATCCTTAAAATATGCCAAATGAAGAGAACAGAACTGTAGAAGGGAACTAATGATTAAGCAATGCTTAACCATATATCGCTTTTGGAAAACATGCAATCATTGTCACTCCATTAATGGTTTAAAAGCTATCCACCAACGACCTTTTTTTGTTTGATCCTCGCATTATGGCCCTCTGCTTTATGCATTATTATCGTCTTCCAGCATCTTCAGCGATCAATAATTCTCTGTTATTCAGGCGAAGAGTTATATTTTCATAATTTTTAGGCTGCCATGTAGATCACCGTTTTCTATGTTTGCTTTCCTTTCATTATTGCTGAATTGCTCTGACATACACCACACAAGCATGATAGCACTACTCTGTTTATTTATATATAATAAATTAAGAAAAATACATATTTATTGCATACCTTAATTTTTAATAGAGAAAAACAAAAAAATTATACATGAGCAAAATACTCTGTAACTACTACTCTTTTGTAAATTTAACTTTTATTTTCTTGCAATTTCTCATCGAGATATTTAAGAACATAATTTAATTTACACAGACTTATTATTTTTTTTAAAAGGAGTTTCTGGTTCAATTAAAATATGTTCGAATCAATACATTTAAATTAGTGTTTTTAACCAAATGTTAACTTCCATGAAGGGTTAAACAAAATTTATAATTTAAGCATTTATTAAGAAATAAAATATTCATCTGACATGTACACACATGGATAGAATTAGTAATTGTTAATGGATTCCAAACCTCAGAGCAAAACATAACTTTTTTAAGGGAATTTGCTGAATCATGAATCGGCAAGTGGTGTATTTGATTCATTGAATCCTGTCGAATAAACCAATACCATTGAATTTTGCCAACTAATTACGTTTATAACTTTAACCGATGGAAAAACATGAACATTTTTTCTTATTCTTTTAGTTATATAAAAAGAAGCGAGTGCTATATTTTCTAAGAACATTTGTAAATATAATATTGAATCATCTTCATCTGTGAAGTTAATTTTAATTAAACTTTTAGTAAGTTATATTTTTCTAACCCTTTTTTTGCGACACACTTAGTTTATGAACAATTTTGTTTAAATACGAGGTAGGCATCAGTTAGAATTGATTTTTTGTTTGTACTTTTCTGGTTTTTTCAAAACTTCATCTGCATTATATTTTTCTATTAGAAATTCATTAAAATGGTACAAGTTTCTTCATATGAGGTTGTGATGAGAAGATTTGAAGTGAAAGCAAAAAAAAAGTTTTCTTTACACGCATTTGTGAATAATTTTAGATTGGATTACAATGACACCAAGTTTTAAACACTTACATTCAATCTGTGTTTAAGATATAAAATCTAAATCGCCCATTTATATGAATTTGAGTTTGTATTAGTAAACATGATATAGGTGGATAGGAGACATGTAAGTTAGTGATCAAAATGAGTATTCAACTATAATGTTATTGATAAATCTTTTAAAAGATTAATAAGAAAAAAATAACACAAAAACATATATCAAATTTACATAAGAGATTAACATTATACTAATATAAAACATTAAAATAATAATTTTATCAATTTTATTTTTACATGTTATTTAACTTTGTTATTTCTAATTAAATTCAAACTTAAATTTATTTTTGAATTCTCATTAAATATGAGAAAAAAACTTACTCTATTTATGTTTTTGAAATGAGATGTTAGATCCGAAAAAAAATATTAAGCCTGTAGTTAGAGTTTTTCCAAAGCTTGATGCAAATCATAAGTTATATTGAGTTAGATAAAAATGTCAAATTCAATTTAAACTTTTAAAGTGAAAACTCAGATTATGTGAGCTTTTTACAAGATAGGTCATGATCATGCTAAAAAGGTATATATTTAATTTATGTCCATAATTTAATGGCCTAAAATTTCAATTTTCCTGGGTTTGAGATGAGTTGATATAAAACTATAATGCATTGGCCAACCTGCCCAATTAGTTTAAACTTCTCCAAGTCAATTTGTATGGTTTTACTAACTAATCCTAATTTGAGATGATCCAAAGAGTTGAAAAAAAATTCAAATTTAATTATATTAAAGTTTAAAGGTAAAACTTTACAATCCATTAAGAAAGTTTAGGTTAGGTTAATTATGAGATGAATATAAACAATTAGCTACTGATGAAATATATAAATAAAACTGAATTATTATAAAAATGAACTGAATTTTAAAATCAAATTATTATAAAATTGAATTAAATTTATATTATAATTGAATTGAAATTACATTATATTATTGTTCAACGAAACCCAATTAAAGTAAACTATTTTAAATGCAAGTGTTAGAAGTATCTAAATTAGTTATTATTACTTCGGAGTCTTATTTTAAAAATATTTTCCAATTTTAAAAATATTTTCCAATATAATTTTTTTTTTATTTATTTATTGATTTATTTCTTTTTTGTTTGGATAATATGTTCTATAACCGGTAATGTTGTAATAAATATGTAGTAAAAAGTTTCAATAACCATACTTTTAATCTGTATTTATATTTTTTAGATATATTAGATTAGTAGATATCTTATTTTTTCTCTGAACCTTTGATTATGATTAATCTAACACAATCCAATTTCGTTTAAACATGATTATTGATCTTTTTATATTACTTAAATGATTAGTTGATCATAATCAATTTATCCTTGATCGGTCATAATATTTCGATCGGAATCGGTAGTTAGAATACAATAATAAATAAAAGTTCAGTTTAATTTAAGAATAATTCTTTTGTTAAAACTAATTTAAAATAACATTTTGGTTTAATTTTCTTTTCCCAGACATTCAAGTTTTTAAAGTATATACAGGATCAATTTGGTTTAGTTTAATCTTTTCTATATAGCCCTACTGTTGGATACAATTATAGATTCAATGAAAAACTACATAACTCGAACTTAATTAGAATTTTGTATGAATCTTTTAGAATAAACATGTATTGGACTATGGTTGAATTCTATTAAAAAGTTAGTTCATTTTGAGAAAAAGCTAAACATAGAATGCAAGGGATAAAGGAGTGAAGAAAGAGACAAAACAAATTCTAAAAATCAGAATTATATTTCTTTTTATATTTCAAACATCAAGTAACATTATTTTAAAATGATTTTTGACTCCTCGCAGTTAATAATAAGGACATGCAAATAATTTTTTAAAATAAAATATATTCTCAACACGGTTTTTATGACCTCTTAAGTATTCTATTATCAAATAGAAATATCTATAAACATTACTTGTTTAAGAAAATCTAAAACCAATTATTAATACCTAACACACGTATTATGGAATACATGGACAAAAGTAATGCAATTATTTATCCATTAATAAAGTTTTCCATATGATTTACATGCTCTTTTAAATATTCCCCTTTCCTTTTCGATTGCTTTCCAATGAAACCAAAGGTCCACGACCTCCTACATAATCATGCTACAAATAATATATAAAGTTTTTCATGGTAGTAATAAAGTTTCACATGCACCAAAAAGTCATGCAAGAAAACACACTTACCCCTCTCCCCATAACAGAGAGAGAGAGGTTCTGGTTTTCATCATTGAAATGACAATAACATTATTAAATAAAGTGTGTGGTTTTTTAGTATTCGCACTCAATGGAGCCACATTCACCGACCCATACACATTACCCATTTTTCATTTCATTGGACATAGGCATTCATATTATTCCTTTTCCCTCTCTTTCTTTTCCTCTTCCTCTGTCTAAAAGAAAGAAAAAATAAAACACACAATCTTCCAAATATTCTCGTGTCTTGAGAGCCTTGGACGCACAACCCCGTACACTTGCATTATGCAGCTGCCAAGCCAGGGGCCCCATCACAA